TGAACTATCTTGCTTTGCATGTAATGATTCTTATCTCATATATTAGTTTATATTCTTATCTCATATATTAGTTTCACCTTTTAAGTTGCATTACTGAAATAAATGAACTTTTGCACGATATTCTAATTTTTCGAGTTTCACCTGTAATCCCTTTTGACAATCAAAGCAATCATAGTTTCTCTTGGGGAAGGCTTTAATGCAAAATTATACCCATAATGCAAAGAGCGCTCCCACATGCGCATACACGCACAACCCCCCCCCCGCTCCCCCTCCCATGCGTGCCGTACTGCTTGCCTCTAAGCTGAGCTTGGTATTTCCTCTGGGGGGGCCAGAGGAGGCCGTTTTCGTCCTCCCCAGGCTCCAGGAAAGCCTCCAGAGCCTGAAGCCTGGGGAGGGTGAAAACGGCCTCCCCTGGAAGCAAGAAACAGATCTTTTCCAAACTTCCGGTAGGCCCCAGGCTCCGGAGGCTTTCCTGAAGTCTGGGGAGGGCGAAAACGGCCTCACCTGGCCCTCAGGAAGGTCGAAAATCAGCTGGCCAACGCTGGAACTGACAGCTTGCGTGCCAGCAGATATGCCTCCGCATGCCATAGGCTCGCCATCACGGCCATATGGTGTTTCAAATAGATAGTCCTCAACCTATGAACACAACTGAGCCCAAAATTTATGTTGCTAAGCAAGACATTTGTTAAATGAGCTTTGCCCCATTTTATGACCTTCCTGTCACAGTTGTTAAATGAATCACTGCAGTTCTTCAATTAATAACATGGGTGTTAAGTGAATCTGGCTTCCCCATTGAGTTTGCTTGTCAGAAGGCCCCAAAAGGTGATCACATGAGATTGGGACACTGCAACTATCATAAATATGAGTCAGTTGCCAAGCATCCAAATTTTGATCATATAACCATGGGGATGCTATAATGGTTGTAAGTGTGAAAAACAATCTTAAGCCACTTTTTTCAGTGGCATTGTAACTTTGGTTACTGAACAGACTGCTGTAAGTTGAGGACTACCTGTATGAAACATTCCACATTTCATTTGGAATGTTTTGCATTTCTCTTAATATCATCATGTCCAAGTAAAATGAACCCTTCTCCCTATTCCTACTCATGATAATTTATTATTACCATGTNAGAATTTAGCTTTCTCAGGATTCCATTATTATTACTGTTGTTGTTTCAAATGAGAACAATACATTTCAACGTGAGAAAACTGAAGAAACAGGAAGGCCGCATTTTAGACACTTACCTAATTCTTTGTCCTTCCTTTTGAACTGAAAAATACCTGCAAAGTACCGTATTTTTGGAGTATAGGACGCACCGGAGTATAAGATGCACCTTAGTTTTGGGGGAGGAAAATAGGGGAAAAAAATTCTGCCTACCAGGTATTCATCTTGAAGAAAATGATATTAAGGTACTCTTTTATAAAATGTTAAAAGGTTACTTTTGTATTCTTTTACAATGTTAAACGTATAAGCCATTATATTCTTGCCTAAAATGTGTAATAAGTTACTGTGCTTTTGCTAACCACAAAATGTGTTCAGTAAAGAGGACAAGATAACCTTTGTTATTCCAAACAATTTACAGGAGCCTGCGTA